GCAGACTGAGTGCCAGGCACTATGAGCTGCAGCAGCAGTGCAGAAGTAAGTAACATCCAAAAATATTTAAATAAATGGTATTCTATTATTAACAGTGCAATTAAAACTACAATTAATAGCTATTAATTTTTTAAAATCATTTGACAGCCATATTTTGAATAGAAGACTGGGCTGGGGAGGGCAACGCAGACACTAGGCAAGAAGATACCTAAACCTTGGTGCCCTCCACCACCACCATGAGGGGCCAAATAAGAACTGCTATTGTCCCACTAAGTTATAACTGCTTAAAACACTGTACCTAATGTATCTGCAACCTTTCTCTTTCTTGCCAGCCCTAGAAAAATATGCCTTCACTTTAGCCATGGGCAGTGTGTGAACCTCCAGCTGGGGGAGGCTAGCTCCCAGCCCTGCCTCTTCTGCCCGAGACCATGCCCATTCCACGTCCCCGCCAGAACCAATAGCCCCCGTCACCATAGCCGCTGGCGCCTGCCCCAGGCTAGCTCCCCAGAGTGCCGGGAAGGTGGGCAGCGCAGCCCAAGCCAGGGCCAACCCACACCCAATCAGGGAGACTGGAGCCATGGCGGGAAGCTGGGGGGGGCAGAACCTGGGGCCGGAGCACAGTTTGGAGAGGTACAGTCTCCCCCAGCCTAGGATATCCGCCACCCATGACTTTAGCCATGTTTTTGAGTGGACATTGGGACCCACCAGGGCTACAGCTTACATGGCCTAGCAGGTGACACACCTATAATGTTAGTCTCTGAGTTATGGTTCCACAGGCATGCTACTATTACTTCAGAGGTTCAGTGTACCACCACACTGAGCAACTATACTAATTACACCCTGAATCTGACCTTCATGTACCTGATTCATCTTTCACATCAGTGAAAATAAGGAATAGCTCAACTGAAATAGAAGTAAAACAAGTGTCAGATGGAAGTTAGGCCTTATTTCTCTATAATGGGGAAAATCAAAATCCCAGGTCCAAACACCCCAGAATGCAGGGGTTTGAAATCAAGATCTCAATTTAAACTTCCTTGAGTTTCAGTTTGTTGGGGAATCAGTATTTAACCTATTTATAGAGTTTTTAGCCCATAACAGAGATAAGCTTCAAGTGTGAACTCAAATCTAAACTCACTATATTCAGAGTTCAGCTCTGGAATATTGTTATTGAACCATCTCTAGTTCGTATTTACCACAAAAATGTCCAATTTGATTATACTTTATGCCGTAGAAGAAGGGGTGTTATTCCTCTTTTGGCAGATGTTTCTTTCTTTGAACTGAACATATTGTGGAATGTGTAAAAGAGATAGCTTCTTATATTTGGGGAAGAGTATAAGAACGGATTCTGGTCAAATTTATGACACTTTTACGCTGTGGAATTACTCCTATTTAACACTAGCCTAAGTAAGATCAGAATCAGGCTCAAAGACTTCAGAACTATGGTCCTGTTGATTTAATCTGATTAGAATCCAAAAGTAGTAAAGGACTTCTGGCACTCACTATCTTGATACATGGTTCCATTATGAATAATGTTAGTGAAGTAAAAATGAACAGGACATTTTTTTCTACTTTCACTGTGAAGACAGTTTTTAACCAATTATTAGCTTTATTCAAGAAAGTAGCATAGTGCAATTTTTCCAAGAACAGCATCTGAAAATGCTTCATAAATAATGCATGAAGGAAAGGGACAAGTCCCACTGTAGTCAATGGGGCTACTCAAATCTCTAAAGTTAAGTACATGAGTACGTGTTTACAGATTTGGAATCTAAATTGGTAACAAAAATAATATAACAATATGCCCAACAGAAACATTAATTTTACAACATTCCCAGAGGATATATACAGAGTTAAGAGATATGCAAGAATTAAAGGACCTGATTCAGCAAGGTGCTGACTGCTGATGTGCTCAAATGGCTTCATTAGGATTTGAGATTTTCCAGTAACTTTCAGGATAGAACCCATCTACATATTTGTGACAGAATGATCTGCCCCTTTAAAGGTGCCCCTTTAAAAGTCACCACCCCTTTAAGATTTTGAGACATCTCATAGGCAAAGACCAAGGAGGCTTTGGGAGAGAGGAAATGGTCCCAGAAATAAGTAGTGTTTAGAAAGAATCCCATTACTGTCTCTTTAAGGTTCCAGGAGCCTTGCAGAGTGGGTAGGGCAAAGTGCCTCACTCTCCCAGCCAACTGGGATGAGCTATAGGAAAGGGACCAGTATATATACTGCCTCCTGCCCCTTAGCAAGGCAAGGACTGGCAGGAGAAGGCTGACTTGTTAAATCTGCCAAAGTGGAGGGCTAATCAGGGAAAAGGATCCAGCTGAAGGAGAAGCTGACTAGGCTTTACAGCTGGCCTAAGCTGCGGTTTGGAGGAAGAGAGTTGCAGGAACTCCTGTCTAAAGGAAGGAGATCTTGACAGCCACAAGGCAAGAGTCAAAGACTGCCTGAAACATAACCCCAGACCCTGAAGGAGGGAGATACCAATTGCCTTAAGGTAAGAGACAGAGGAACTGTTTGAAATACAGTACCATCCCAGCTGCTGGGAGAGAAAGCACCTCTTTAGCTGGCTAAGAAGAAGCCATGAGGAGCCACAAGTCCAAGATGGGGACCTTGTAAAGACCTGGTAAAAGGCAAAGGTAGGAGTGGCAAAGGGTCTGAAGTGTATAGCTGTAAAACAAGATCCCTGGGATGGATCCCAGAGGAGAGGGTGGGCCTGTGTTCCCTTACCTCTTCCCTAGACCAAGAGGGGAAGTACAGGCATCAGGAGTGAAAGAGGCTAAGAACTATGAGTCCCAGACAGAGGCCAAGGACTGAGTTTAGAGACCACTAGACTGAATTTTCTTATATTTGGATGCTTCTGTTAACCCTGGAAGGGGAATGGATTAACATGTGACCTGGCTGGAGGCTAAATCTTGGAAGCAACAGAAGACTGTGGAACCAGGACAGATAAATCCTAGACTGAATGAAAGAAACCCTTCAATAGAGTGCCTTGAGATGGGGCAGGGTGAAAATGTGCACATATATGCTCTGACAGTGAGTATGCCATAATAATATTAATATCAGGAATATTTTTTAAATGATTCTGTTATTTCTATTAGATTCCTATAAAACTTTTTAGTCTGCAAAACATCTAATGGATTAATTGTACTTCAAGTCTAAAAATAAGATATGGAATTAAGTGTTTTATTTGGGAGAAAAATGTCCATGGCTTGGTTCTCTCTCACTTGTACCTGTTTTACTCCAGTGTTTACACCTTTGAACTCAAAGGTATTACTCCCAATTTATACTAATGTAAGCAAGAGGAGATTTGGACTAACTGTGTACTATTTTGCTCTTATCTATTTATCTTGGATCAGTTTACACTAGCTAAATTTTTTTGAACAAGCTTATTAAAAATAGAGGCACAAAGCAAGAGAAGAATCTAGTCTCAAAGGCCATGTTTCTACAGCTCGGAAAAATAAGACTTTTGAGGCTCTGGGCAAAAATTAAAAGAGGGTATTTTCTGAGCTGTGCCTTAAATTAAGCCATATTTCGGTCTGTAATTACTAGGACAATTCTTGATGTTACAAGTGTTTAAGTCATAAATACATTTTAATAAGCAGACATTGTTCAGTCTTGTAAAGGAAAAAGAGCCCTTAGGCAAAATTAAGCTATATGATAGCACAACACTTGTCTGAGATTTTAAAAACTGTATAAAACATCTAGATTCATTATACAGGATATGGCATCTGTCATTGTTCCTTTTTTGGGCACTACTTATTAAACTTATGTTGTTTTAGTTCTCTTTTAAAAATGTTAAGCATCGAAGATGCATGAATATTTTCCAGTAAATAGGACATAGAAAACCTCACTTAAATAGCATACTGATGTGGTGATGCACCTTGGAAAAAATGCTATGATCAGAAACACTTAAATAGGATGTTTTCAGAAAGAAGTAATGAAACCACACAATGTAGGAGTGCAAGTGTGACACTGAGCAAGAAAGGATTACACATGAGCAGGCTAAATGACCCAAATGATACCTTTAAAGATATATTAGAGAAGTAATATAAATGGTAATTAGGTCCATTCCTTATAAATGGCTAACGAAGCCATGTCAGATAGACTAGAGCTTTGAAATGCAGTCTTGTATTGTTAGTGATCCTATTTGTCTGTGGTTACCTATATCTTGTTAGAGGTTAACATTGTAACGGATGGTTCCTGTTTGTTACTGTATTCTATTGATTCAGAGATTAAAAGGGAATATTAACATTTAGAAGAAACTTGGGTGTAATAATGGTCTATATTTCTCTTTGAAGTTTGTAGTAAACTCCATATGAACTGCTTATGGATGCTTATGCTGACGAATGCACCTAATTATCTGTGTATACATCAGAAATAGGAGATTTTACTTCAAATGCCTGCTGTCAAGAGGCTATCGATAGCCTGCCAGAGATCTATAAAAGAACTCTAAGGCCTCAATCCTGTATCTCAGATCTGCTTAAGCTTGGTCAGGGGAAGTTTGAGTCGCAAGACTGAGGTCTCCAGCTCCAGTCTAGATTACCCTGCCAATTCTCATGAAAGAATTTGAACTCTATATATGGACCACCTATTTGGACTATAACCTGATGAACTGATTCTGGAAAGAACCTTTTGCAGCTCACCATCTTTATTATGAAACGGACCTAGTGGGTAATGTGTCCAATCCCTTGGGATTGGTAGAACTTTATATATGATGGACAAGATTTTCAGTAATCCTCATCATATTTGACTTGGCTTTGTGGGTGGGAACCCAAGGCTGGATTGCTTTAAGGGAACTGTATTTCTGGCTTTGGGGTAACCAAAGATGTATTGTAGAAGCTGTTTTGTTGCTGCCTCAATGAATCTAATTATTAGAATAACCACCATTTTTGGGGATCGTCTGCCCCATTCTTTGCAGTTTGACTTAACTGAGCATTCTCAGTGTGGCCCCCCCAGGCACCAACGGTCACAGCAAACATACATAGTTTAAAGTTACATACGTCTGCTTTGTATCTCTTCAATCTTCTCTCATGAAGTTGGGGAACAAGTTGCAGCAAAGGATGCAGGACAGACGACTGAGAGGACATGAACACAGACACATGAGCAACAATGAAATCCTGGTCTTGTGATGCAAAGAATGTCTCTTACTATACTACTGGATTATGGACAAAACATGCAAAACAAAGGACTGAAGATGTTAACTGATAACTTTTTGGGTACTCTGAATTTATACCTGAAAGATACAGCTTGTTTATTTAGTCTAGGAATACACTTCCTAGAGCACTGAAGTGAAACTCCTCTACTGTGTTCATTATAGGTTAGTCTGTATATTGTTTTGTCAGGAGCAAGTCCCAGTTCTGATTTCGATCAGCCTTTGTGAGTGCACTACTAGATCTGTGATTTTAATATAATGAACTGTGCAGAGAACATTTTTGGGAAGTTTTCATTCTCTGTTTCTGATTACTACTGTTTCTAAGACTATCTGCTATTGTAAGAGCTTCAAATTTCCTGGCACTCAAAGTTAATTTTTCTTTAAAATAGTTTGAATCACAGAAATAAAAGTGGTGTTGTTCTATTAAAAAGTAATTTCTAGTAGTGTTTCTGCCAGGCTAGATATATATTTGAAGTAAAATCGGCTGGTTGTCCTATTAGCTTCGGGAAAGACAAACTAAGGCCCAGACTCTGCAATTCACATGCTCAGGCACACTGATGTGCTTGCACTGAACCCTGTTGAACTCAGTGGGGCTCCATGCAGGTTGAGCAATGTGCCCCCATGCAGTGAATCAAAGGATCAAGGCTTGAGGGATCAAGGCCTCAATATGGATTATTTATTACATAAGGAGTAACCTGTTCCAAGAAATAAATCAAACTATAATTACCTGCATTCATTCAACTAATTTTTAAGACCAAATTGATCCCCTTGTTTAAACAAGAAAACATGGTTCACAACATGGAAAAACAGTGCATATCGGATTACTTTTATACAAAGTGCAACAAAAAAGAGGTCATTTGTTACAATAGTAATTTAATCAAAGTTACAGCAGAGTTAATAGGCAAAATGACAGTCATTTTCCTACATTTGTAGGGTACAGAAACAGAGCAGGTGCATAAAGAAAATAGCATTTCATGCAGTAGAAAAAGTGTCAAACCTAAACAACAGCAAATAAAGTCCCAAAGCAGCTAGCAAAGTGCTATCACTAAACTAAGCTGCATTGGGTCTATGGATGATAATCAACCAGGAAACATATTGACTATAGCTTTAACACTCTTTCACTGGAGGGTTAGAAAATAACTTGTACTGTGCTCTAGCAATGATGCAGTATATTCCCAGTGGAAACATATAGAGCAGTATATATGTGAACATAACAGTGAACATAAACATGACAGAATGATTACCAAAAAGTGAAAAGTCTGAATATTACACTCAAAAAGCAGTGCTGCACAATGAAAGAGCATGGTTGCACATAGAAAAGAAATATCTGTTATGTCTGCACTTTAAAAGCAAGAGCTGATCAAAATGTAGTCTCTGAGTGATGAGAAATTTTTAAATATCAAACATTAGGATATTTGATTTATTCTATTTTTTGTTTACTGTGAAATCCAAAAATCTTAATTAGGCAAAATATAAGATTCTAAAATGCTTCATTAGATATATTTAATAGTTGTCAACATTTAAGACCACCCCCTCAATTAGTATAAATCAGCATAGCTCCATTGACTTTGGTGAAACAACACCAGTCAACGCTACCTGAGGATCAGGCACATGAGATCTTAATTTCAACATGTAATTATATTAGATATGCTGTTTATAAAATACCAGAAATGAACATGGTTTTATTTTTTCTAGGATAAACAAGTGTCTTGTGGCACCCTTCCTAGATTTTTGAAGTTACAATGTTCAGACAGGCACCATTCCCTGGATATTCCTTAATTTTGTTTAAATGTACAATATTAAGGATATTGTGTCATAAAAAAACTCCACAAATTATTAACTTGATCTCCAGCTGGAGAGACTACCAAGACTACTGCTAAGAGGAATACTGTCTTGTTTTTAAGTACAAGCACACACGTACTCACAAAGAGGGTGGCAAAACTTACCATGATGTCTGAATTGCCTGAGTCATGAGTCTTAGAATAATGAAATAAGAACTGTTCAGAAAAAATTAGAAGTGGGATTTTACTACAGGACAGGTTAATGGTTACGGTTTTCTTGACAATATAAGTGTGACCTAAAATATGTATGACAATCTTACCCTTTTGGTGTTGTCTTTTTCCTCTAAACCCTGTGGGAACAATAATTGGTATATATGCTTTAATTTCTAAAACAAGCCAAGGTCAGTTTTAGTAACATTAAATATCTTGGTTCTTTCTTGGAACATTTTACTCTTCTGATAATTTGACAACCCAAGAAATATAATGTGGTTAACTGCTGCTTTCAAAAACTGTATTGTATACTGATTTCCACCAGAAAACTTGACTAAATAAATCCTTTTTAGTCATTAAATACATTTCTTTACAATCATTAACATGCTACTACTGGGCCACTTTCTTCTTTCCGCTATTCAGAATAGGAGAACTTTATTGCTTTGACACTCAGACTTAAAGGAGTTCATGTTTTAATGACTCAGCAAGGTGTGAGGCCTCATTCTCCAGTAAAAGTAAAGTACCAATGCAGGGAGGACAGGAGACTCCCCTCCCAGGTAACTTAAGGAAACTAGTTAATTCCTACACTGGAGGCTGTGTAGTTACTCTAACCAATAAGCTACAAAAACTCCATACACTGTATATTCCAAGCGGAGAGAGATTGTTTCCCAAACATAGGGCTTGGTCCAAAGCTAATCAAATGGTCCAAAGCTAATCAGTCTTCCAGATGGATTCAGTAGGCTTTGGATGAGGTCCATAAGGCATTGCAGAGTGAAGGAGATATGGATTTATACTATTCCTCCAGGACCTGAGCAGCACCGTAACTATACAACATGGAGCTGGAGGCTGTGGCAAGCTAGTATCCACGGTTATCCAAGGATTGCCCAGCTCAGAAAGCTGGGGATAATTACTGTTTGCATAGATCCTCAATTTATTCTAAAGTTTCAAGCAGCTAGTATACTGAAAAATCATGATTCAGAAATGTAAAATAGTTTTAAATTTGTACTACCTGAGGTTTCTGTAGAAATCCCATGACCATAAAGCAAAGTTCTTCCAGTGCACTGGATGCCTATTGAAAAGGAAATGTGAACTCAGACACCAGATTGCCTATTTAATGGCACTTGAAAAACAATGATAAATAGTTAAAATAATAGCGCTTTAACTAGTCTCACCTCAGGATGAGGATCTATGATGGACAGATAAGCAGAACATGCACCATCGATCTGTAAAAATTGAGATGTTAATCTTAGAAAGTCAGACAGAACAGTAAACAGACAAAATATATACATTTTCAAATAATGTTCGGTGTACCAAAAGGTATGACAGGATTATCAAAATAGGTGGTTTGTATATGCTTTGCATGCTATCTGAAGCATAAACCTGGGTTATTTTCTCTCTCTTTCACCCATGTTCCCTGCATGTAAATATATTTTTATTCAAGTAAAAACCTTGACTGAACAACTGAGATTTGCACATGCCCAATGTCAGTAACCACATGGTCATATTTCTGCACCCCTCATCCTTTCTCACTTTTCTGACTTCCTACCATCTGTCACCTTCACTGACAGTTATATCTTAAAAACTAATTGTAAACTCTTTGGGCAGGGGTTGTGATATCTCTTCTGAAGCAGCTGGAACATTTTGGGATTCCAGACTCTAAATAAAATAACGCCATGCAGGAGGTACATAGGCCATGGCTCCCCAAGAGTGCCCTTGAGACTGAATTTCAGCTTTCCTAGGAATTTACACGGCTGGCCTTACCATGAGGCGAACTGAGGCGGCTGCCTCAGGTTCCAGACTGTGAGGTGGGCACCACTAGGACCCAGAGTGTAGAAAATTGTGTCTGCTGCTGGTGCATATGTATTCTCTCCACTCTAGATGCACAGAGATGGTGGAGTGCTGTGCTGGAGGAAGGAGGGCACAAGAGACATAACAGGCAGGCAGGAGAAAGGGTAAGAGGGAATAACAGAAAGCAGCAGGAGCTGCAGGGAGAGAGAGGAGGAGCCTCTTATGTACCTCTCTAGCACCCCCAGGAGCCTGGACTGATTATCCCCAGCTTCCTAGGGAGCTTCCTGTTTCCTGCTGCTTCCCTGAACCCACTTGAGGAGAACAGGCTTGAGGAGAACTACAACTGAAGTAGTAGGAGCCAGTTAGGCCCTTAAGATGCTAATCTCTTCCCTCACTCAGGCCCTGCTACCAGCCTGCTTATTTGTCCCCTTCAATTGAGTGTTGAGAGCCACTCTAGCTGGCACAGAACAGGAGTCATGAGTGAAAGAAAAAAAGTCCCTCTGAGGCAGCATTCAGAAAAAGAACGCAAAGGAAGCTTTTCTATCTAAGCAGGAAGGAACTCTCCTGAGATACACAGACACAAATGTTCACGGTGAGCCTTCCGGCCCCAGTGAGGATGTGAGTGGTGAGGAGATGCCTGATCTTCCAGTTAATCAGAGTGCAGGTGACCTGGCAGCTATTGCAACATCCATATCTCCATCTGAAATGGATGTAACCATGCACATTCCTGAAGAAAAAGTGTAGATCAGAGAAGAGTGTGATGGAGGCGCAAGAAACAGCTGCTGCTGAGGTTAGTTCCTTAAGTCTAGATGATCCAGGACTGTGGACCCACTTGAGCACTAGCCTGAGGGACTTCCTTGTACTGCCTGGGCCACAGCAAGTGAAAAACTTCATGTTCCCCAAAGACAATGAAAATAGAAGTTTCCATCCGACACATTATTGGCGTGAAGTCCCCAATGGTGACGAAGTGGAGAGGCCATGGCTTATGTACTCAAACACAGAATGCTGCATACTGTTTTTGTTGCAAACTCTGCCAATCTAATGTTCTAGCCACATTGGGTTCTACAGGAACAAAGGACTGGAAAAATCTGGCTAGAAATCTGGCATGCCATGAGAAAGCAGCAAATCACCGGAGAGCATTCATTAGGTGGAAAGAGCTTGAGATGAGACTAAGGTTAAAGGCCACCATAGATGATCAGCATCAAGAGAAGATTGCATCAGAGTCTCTTTACAGGCAAAATGTTCTGAAAAGGCTCATTGCCATTGTGAGAATGCTTTCTACCCAAAACCTAGCATTGCATGGCACTTCAGATCAGCTGTATGTGCCAAACAATGGAAACTTCCTTAAAATTGTGGTGCTGATGGCTAAGTTTGATGCTGTACTCCAGGAGCATCTAAGAAGAGTCACCACCCAAGAAATGTACACACACGACTACCTTGGAAAAACAATTCAAAATGAGATCATACAGTTACTGGCAACAAAAGTCAAAGAAAAGGAGTACTTGTGGCACCTTAGAGACTAACACATTTATTTGAGCATAAGCTTTCGTGAGCTACAGCTCACTTCATCAGATGCACAAATAAATTTGTTAGTCTCTAAGGTGCCACAAGTACTCCTTTTCTTTTTGCGAATACAGACTAACACGGCTGCTACTCTGAAAAAAGTCAAAGAGAAGATTGTGGCAAGTCGGCAAGATATTACTCTGTTATTCTGGACTGCACACCTGACATCAGCCATACGGAACAAATTACTTTAATGGTGCATTTTGTAACAACCACAGAACCTAGTGAAAATGTCCCTGCAATGGTGACTGTCAGAAAGCATTTTCTACAATTTATTGGCATTGATGATACTACTGCTTCTTAAAAAGCTGGAAGATATGGGAATTGAGATCGCTGACATGAGAAGTCAGGGCTACAATAATGGTGCTGACATGAAAGGAAAGAAGAGAGGAGTGCAGACACGGATTCGAGTTAAACCCTCGAGCTTTTTTTGTCCCATGCAGTTCTCATTCATTGAACTTGGTGGTCAGTGATGCAGTATCAGCTTCTAGTGAGGCTGCTGAATTTTTTAATGTAATTCAAAGTATCTATGTATTTTTCTCATCAATGGCAAATTTTGAAGCAACATCTGGGAACATCCTCTCTGACATTGAAACCACTGAGTGCCACATGATGGGAAAGTCGAGTGGAGGCGATAAAGCCTATTAAACACCAAATTGGGAAGATAGATGATGCCATAGTAGCCATTATGGAGGATAATGCTATGACAGGAACTGTTCGTGGAACAGTGGCAGAGGGAAATGGAATCCCCAGAAACATACATCACTTCTAATTTCTGTGTGGCTTAGTGTTGTGGCATGACATACTGTTTGAAATAAATGTTCTAAGCAAGAGACTCCAAGGTGTTGACCTTGATATATCTGGAGCAATGGAACAACTTGACAAAGCAAAGTCATACCTACAGTCTTACCGGTCAGATGAGGGATTTCAAAACGTTCTGAAGAGTGCACAGAAGTTGTTAGAGGAACTTCACACTGAAGTTATTTTCCCACCCATTCAAGAATACAAGAGTCACCAAAGAAGAAGACATTTTGATTAAGAGGCAAGGGATAATCCCATAAGAGACCCCAAACAACAATTCAAAGTTGAATTCTTTAACCAGGTGCTAGATTGTGCAATACAGTCAGCTGAACGTTTCATGCAGCTTAAGGAACACAGCAGTATATTTGGGATGTTGTATGATATTCCAGGTATAGTGAGGAGTTTTGAGGAAGACCTACACCAGCCATGCAGGGCACTAGAGACAGTGTTGACAAATGATGACATGCGCGATATTGATGCGAGTGATTTAGGAGATGAACGAAAGCCCTTTCAAGATATATTCCAGAACAGCCTTTGGAGTTGATCCTGCTGAAATGCATGTGAACAAATAAGATGACCACCCTCTTTCCAAATGCTTTTATTCCTTTGCGCATACTTCTAACACTTCCTGTAACTGTTGCCAGTGGAGAACGCAGCTTCTCCAAGCTGAAGTTAATAAAAACACATCTATGCTCCACAGTGACACAGGAGAGGCTGGTCGGCCTTGCAACCATCTCAACAGAGCATGAGCTGGCCCAGACTGTGGACCTTCAGCAGGAAGCAGTTCAAATCTTTGCAACCAAGAAGGCACGGAAAGCACCACTTTGATTACTCAAACAGATAGAAATGCCAGTGTTTTCTATGCAGACAAGAAAAGTTACATTTGCTGTTCAGGCGTTTGAAAGTTAGGTGTTACTTAAAATTTTTGAACAAGGCATTTTAAGTTGTTAGTTCTCCTTTATTGGGGTAGGTAGCAGAGCAGTACCATGAGAGGAGAAGAACAGGACGAAGGCATAATTGAGAACTTTCAAAGTTTTGGCCCAAGCAAGGGGACATGGGGGCATCATTTGAGCTCCCCAACTCAGATGCCAAAATTTTGTGGGCCAGCCCTGGGGATTTACAATATGTATATCTCACTGGAGCTATGGTGTGTATGCCACCCCTTCTGTGAGACACTAAGGACCCTCAACACCTCACAGGGTTGGTTTAAAGGGGATGCCATATATATATTAAAAATTTCATTGCCAATGTGAGATATATTCCAAGGAAGTTGAACTCAGACCAAAGGGCCCTGCTGGAGGTGTGACTGATTGTGGACTGTGGACCACCTACATAACATACAACACCAGTGACAGGAATAGACACTTATTGATCAGTTCTCTAGTAATCCAGGAGAGAGAGAGTGAAGAAAGGGAAATAGGGGACTCAAAGGCATATGAATTCAAGTAATTAATATTTTCAGTGAAGAAAGTTCAAGAGTACAGTACACTCCCATTTATCCAAATGGCCTGGGGCACATCCAAAACTTTCAGATAACCAGTGTGACAAAGTTCCTGCTCTGCCTTGGTGGGTCTTGCGCTTAATGGTGGATTTGCTCGCCTTGGAGCTTCACGGCAGCTCTCAGCGTGGCCGTTTTTCTGAATTCACAGTCCAGGTCGACTCCTTCTGTGTCTGACCAGGAGTTGGGAGGATTTGGGGGGAACCCGGGCCCACCCTCTTCTCCGGGTTCCAGCCCAGGGCCCTGTGGAATACAGCTGTCTAGAGTGCCTCCTGGAACAGCTGTGCGACAGCTACAATTCCCTGGGCTACTTCCCCATGGCCTCCTCCCAACACCTTCTTTATCCTCACCATAGGACCTTCCTCCTGGTGTCTGATAATGCTTGTACACCTCAGTCCGCGTTCTCACTCTCAGCTCCTAGTGCCTCTTGCTCCCAGCTCCTCACATGCACACCACAAACTGAAGTGAGCTCCTTTTTAAAACCCAGGTGCCCTGATTAGCCTGCCTTAATTGATTCTAGCAGCTTCTTGATTGGCTGCAGGTGTTCTAATTGGCCTGTCTTAATTGTCTCCAGAAGGTTCCTGATTGTTCTGGAACCTTCCCTGTTACCTTACCCAGGGAAAAGGGACCTACTTAGCCTGGGGCTAATATATCTGCCTTCTATTACTCTCCTATAGCCATCTAGCTAGAACCTGTCACACCAGGTACTTGGATAAATTATGGAAGTGCTATTCTGAGCTGCAGTTTTGCTGATACAATCATATGGGGAATGAAGGGAGTAATGCTGCTGTTCGCTTAATACTTCTGCTTTAGATCCAGCACAGATCTTTTTCTTTTTGACATGGTCCTGCCAATATGCTGTTGTTGGTGAAACAGGATTACATTTCAGTAACTGCTCAGAACCACTATAAAAATATAAAGCTGTTGATTAGCACTAAGTGATTAGATAAAGCAGGTGATTAATATAGGGCAACATGGGGGACAGAATGTGGCTTCAGATAACTAGGATTTTCAGATAAAAGGGATTCAGATAACTGGAATTATACCGTATTTTATAATGAAAAAGGAAGGGTTACCAAAGCCCAGAATGCAGGACCACAATATACTACTGTAGGGAAATTTAAAAAAAAAAAAAAAAGAGAGAGGAGGTTTAACTTTCCATGACAGTGTAAAATTTGTGTCACTTGCAATGTACGGTAGCATGTCATACATATTTTCCATAAAATATTCCATATTTTTAGTCCAGATGACAAATATCTTTTGCAATCACTCTCTCAATCATGCATTATGTTCCAGGGAAGTGGTTTTCAAAAAAGACTGGACAATACAATAAGTTCTATAATAAATATCAGAGATAAAGAACTCCAAACGCTACTACTTGGCAAGCACAAGTTACAAAAGAAGATACAAATAATGTTGGTTCAGGTGCCTTAGGAGAAGCTTTTCTGCTCAGAAATTAATCATATGAAAAAAACATTAGGAGAGATTGAGGGGAAGCTAGTAGCTCACCAGGCTCCCTCTCCAAATAGCCTTTAATGTTAAAATGTCTCCCCAACCCTCTTTTGCTGAATCTCCATGACTCTGGGAATACTAACAGATTATTAAATTTTGCTACTGTGGGCCTAGTGTTGAAAATGTATAGGTGTAAAGCAGAAGTGGATAAAATAGACCAATTCAAAAATCATATTTTGGGATCCCAGGCTTTGAGCCTGATTCCCACCCAGCGCAATACCTTCCTGCTGCTGGAGGTCTCTGTTAGAGGGTTATTGTAATTCATGAACACTAAGCAAGATAAGAGGTAGGCCATCTTGGCCTCAGTGGAGAGCAACACTGAGAATCTGTCAGCCAAAATCTACTTTTAAATGGTTGAGTTGAGAAGAATCTCTAGACTCAGAGACTGCTAAAAATCAAGAACTCACATTAAAAAAAAACCTATAATTTTTATTTTTACGGATTTATCTCCTCACTACCTTCCTCCTCTTTTCTACATCAGAGGGGTGTTATGATGATTAAAAATTGTGAAGTACTTAGATACTGTATTAATGTAGGACATACAGGTGTGTGTGTGAGAGAGAGAAAGAGACAGACAGTACAAGTGCATTAAATTCCCCAGCAACTACGTTGTGAGATTCTGGCTCATGTAGACATACTAAGATAGCTTTAATCTAGCTATCTTGGGTCCTGGAGTAGCAAAGCTTCAGCAGCACATGCTTCAGCATAGGCTAACCATGCAAGTAATTACCTAGGGTTCAGAGTGGGCGTATATAGACCATACTGAAGTATGTGCTGCCCCAGCTTCGCTGCTTGGTACTAAAGCTATCTAGATTAAAGATGGTTTGAATACATCTCTATGAGCTGCACTCACACCCCATTATTGCAGTTAAGACCAGGGACGGCTCTAGCAATTTTGCCACCACAAGCAGTCGCTGCCGAATTGCCGCCGCGGGACACGAAGTGCCGCCCCATTCTAATTGCCACCCCAAGCACCTGCTTGGAAAGCTGGTGCCTGGAGCCGGCCCTGGTTAAGACATAGCCTAAGAGTAAGACCTGACAAGTATTCTGTTATTCTGGGGATGCTATCTCTCAAGTGATCTGCTAGTAAGAATTAAAAGGAACCAAATGGAACTGCTCATTCTCATAACCTAGACGACTACCGTGATTTGGAGGATCCTACTACCAGGAGATGGCTGTATCTCTTTTATTAGTTTGCAGTCTTGCCATATATAATCCAATCCCACGTTAACTCTGCTGTAAAACACACAGTTTTTGTAATTGATTGTTATATCATTTTATGCAGAGTTAATCATATTATGGACTGATCCTGCATCCACTGAGATCAATGGGAATTTTGCTTTTGTATTCAATGAGAGCAGAAGCAAGCCTTTTGTTATAACATGTCTAATTGCAGGGATGTATAAAACAATGTCTTCTAAGTTTCTGATTTTTCATCTAAACCCCTAAGTGGTTTGGGGCCCATTTTCCTGAGAGATTGTCCATCAACTCATATGATCAGTATCACAATGGCTGTAATCGGTGCGGGTGTTTGCACTAATACTCCTGAGTTTAAAAGGGAGCAGAGGTTGGCAGCAAGGCATTCCCTGGGAGGGGTCTTTGACTCAGGAACTTCCTCTATCCCTATCCCTTTGGTCCACCAGAGCCCAGATTTGTTAACTTTCTAAGAAAAATTGTGCATTACTCTTTAGGTTTAAGCTTGCAAGAAAGTATATGGCTGCTGTTGTTTTATTAGTACTGTGTGCACATCCTTTTAGAAGAAATGTCTTGAACTTTTAATAGTAAGTTTACTGCGCATATATAAGGATTTTATAAAATATGCATTATATATTATATATATAATATAAAATGCATCCTCTTCCTATGATCAGTCTCCTGTTTTCTAACAGCATAAGGATGTGACAGATGTGAGTGTATGCATATCCTGAGGTAAAGCCCTTCTAAGTGTTATATGTCAATGCTTTGTCCATATCACAAGGAAGAGAACAATGCTCTCAAGCCACCTAACACAAATGTAATATTGTAATCAAAATACTTGCACATAAATCAAAAAACTCAGAACTGAGAATACAAGATGCTATAACATCAGTCAGCACCCAAAATGTTAAAATATATAATTGAAGCAGTACATAATCCAATATCAAGTGAACCAAAATGTTAGGATGTGATTCAGTAAGTGTTTTAGTACTGTATACTGTACCTCTGAAGTAATAGCTTTTGCTGTAACAATCACTACATTGTATGTATTCTACATTATTATACATATTTTCTCTGTGGCCCATAAATATGCCTAATCATTGCCAGTTAAATGAAAGCTTGCCTCCCACTGCCAAGTCTAGCTCTGCACGAGCCAACATAATTTCCTCCTTGCTCTAACAACTTCCCAACTCCCAGCCTAATGATCATTTGGGTATTTGGGTTAAGACAAAATATTTAGTATTCAGCAATCTGAAAAGAGTGGTTGCATCCCATCCCCAAAATCAATATAGAAGGGTACAATCTATGTAGGAGAGGTAGAAAGGGATGGAGGAAGGACTCCACCAGTATGTCAGAAATATTTTCAGTGCAAGATTGGTACATGTGAGAGCAGTAGGAAGAACACTTTTCAATGCACTCCAATCTGAAACTACTCTGCTTATGATCAGAGATGACTTGATTAGTTCTTGTACTTCAGTGTTTCCTTCTTTGGGGGGAAGCCTGTGCAAAGGATGTGGAATGCCAAAAAATAAGTCTCTATGATTGAGGATGTCAGGAAACGACCGCAGCTCTCAAACTCCAGCCATGTAGCAGGGGTCATATGGAGTATATGGCCCCGTGTGAGGATGGGCTCTATGATAATGCATCAGTGGTGGTCTGATCTTTTATACCTGCCCCTTTATACAATAAATTAGCAAGAATCATCCACAACTGTCAAACTGTAGCAGAATATTATTAAAACACCTGGTTGATCCAACACTTGAAGATATTGCTACTTACTTCATTCCACAGCTGCAAATCTTGTTCTGCCTGTAGTTCTTGAGATGGCACTGGTACACCTGGAAACAGAAAGAGTGGATACCACAGAACAAAGACTATAATTATTCTATTTGTAATGATTTTTCTCATATATATATAGTATCTCATATATATAGTTTTATATAGTATGTCAAGTAGTCTGATGAAGTTGCTTTCTTCATTGGAGCAGAGAGTTTATTTTGCCATTCACAATACAGCTTCAGAATAACTTCCTTGAAGAAAATGGACTTACACAAAGGTGGAAGGTGTACATACATTTTAGCTATTCTAGGTCAGATTTCACATTATTTACACTGCTTATTATGTAACTAACAGCAGATTTTGACCCTCCATATGTAAAAGTTGTGGAAGTTATTCTATTTCCATCAACATTCATGCTGATGTAACTCTGTGTTCAGCTGTAAGTAGCAGGCTGGAAACATTGTCTAGCAGTCCCAGACAACTAAAATCCCAGTCTAAATAAAACCATTCCAGTTCCTCCAAATCTATCGAGTCCCATAGCTCTCCAAGAGCTCGTCTTACTCTCACTATTTTCATTCTTTGATGAATGTACTAACTACAGCTCTGACTTGTTAATTTATTGCATATTACACTAAACATATGTAATATTTTATATGTTCACATGTGAAATATTTTATGTGTATTTTGTTGAGTGGTACAGATAGCATTTGATTTTTTGACTTTTTGAAGGTGGCATTTTTGACAAGATAAAAATGTTGTGTATCAGCTTTGCATTCTCTCTCTTTTGGGTCTATGCTATGTGGAAATGCTAAGATTGTTGTAAGATAATAAATGTCTGTTAATTATTAATTTATGTGACACTGGAAAGCTGGAGCCAAGCTGGAGCCTTACAATTTACAGTTTGTTGGTGTATGCACTGAGGGTAATATTGTTGAATTGAAAAGGAGTTTCTCAGGGACCATATTAGTGTGTTGGGATGAGGGAGTATTGTGATGGTGATGGGCAAATGCCTGGAGTTTAGTTTTGAGTTGGGTGTGAATGTTGCCTTATGACTAGAGCTGGTTGGAAATTTCCATCAAAATGGTTTTTCATTGGAAAATGGAAATTTGTCAGAAGAAAAACATCACGCGGGAAAGGGTCAGTTCAGCTGAAACTTTTGTTGGGAAGGTTTCTCAGGTCCAGGATGGAATTTTTGATCTTAACTGCAAGAGGAGGGGAGAATGATCAACAGCCTAGTGGTTGCAGCACTGACCTGAGATATGGGACTCCTAAGTTCAACTCCCTGCACCAAATCAGACAGAACTTAATTGAATCTTTTCTTCCCAGGCAAGTGCCTCAACTACCTGGCTAGTCTGGGGTGGGTCTCTCTCAATTTCTCCTGTTGAAGCTGTTCCATTTTGTACAACTAGTTAAATATTAATTCAGCACGACGGATGCACTCCCCTCCAAATCAAGCAGCGCAGAGATCTGAATGTGCGTACCCCACATCCCAGGTGAGTGCTCTCATCACTCAGCTTTGGTTATTTGTCTCTCACACATGCCCTTTTCATGAAAACTTCAAAAGGGTCTCAGTTTCATCCCAATATGTAACAGGAAAATTTTTGAAATCTCAACCATTTTGGCAGGATAGGAAGCCATGTCCCGCCAGCCCTATTTACACCTTCCTTGCCTCTCAGTGTTTATGTTAGTGGCAGGAAATACACTGTAGCAACCTTAACTACAAATTAATGAATATTTTTGTGTTAAAATTCCCCAGTTTTCTTTTATGTTTTTAATTAATGTATCCAAACTTGGGTGATAGCTGGGGCTGGAGAAAGGACCTATTCGGAAAGTAAAGCTGGGGAGCAGATAATAATCTTTGCCGATGAGCAAGAGAAAACTTTCACTGATGCTCCAGCTGCTTCTGTATAATTCTCAAAGCTTTTTACATTAATCAACAGGAGCCTGGTAGCATGAAAAGCTTTGAGCACCAGGCAGGAAAGCTTGAGTATTGGTTAGAGTTTTCTCTGCCAGCAGTATAAACTTTTGAACAGAGCAAGTACAATTGTTTCACCAGCTCTGCAGTTTCCTTCTCCCTCCCCCTGGCCAGCTCTATTCCCAAGACTTTAGGATATATCGACAGTATAAACGCTACAGTGACACAGCTGCAGTTATGCCACTGTAGCATAGACACTTACCAGGGCGACAGAAGGATTTTTTCCAATTGCTATAGTAAATCCATCCCCTCGAGAGGCAGTAGCTATGTTGACAGAAGAATTCTTCCATTAACCTAGCAATTTCTACAACCAGGGCTCAGGTTGACTTACTGAGGTGTCTCAGGGTGTGCATTTTTTCACTCCCCTGAGTGACATAGCTAAGCTGACCTTTCTCCATCTCTATCCTCTGCTTTAAGCCCTAGACAGGCACTGTCTGCCCTACAGCCACCATCACTGCCCCCTCCACTGCCTCATCCAGTGTTCATCTTGTAACCTAGATGGACTTCATTGATATATATTGTATACAATTTTGCCATATAGGGATAAAATATCCATGTATAGAAATGACATGTCGAAAAATTAAGCACTTAAACCATGATTCAGGAAGGCATCCCTATTGAATTGCCTCATAAAGGCCACTTATGAGGCAATCCAATGATCAGGCTAACTTCATCCACTACATATTCAGTCTCTCTTCTTTCTGTTCTGCCATTTTCCTTGCTAAACTTTACTTCTACAACTTAAGTCAATCTCACACCCACAATCTCAGCCACCTTTTTGCCATCTTTGACTCACTCCTCAAACCCTCCCCTTTTCCTGACTCCATTTTTCTCTCTGCACAAGATCTCACTGATTTCTCTCAAGAATAATTTGACAAAATAACACATGACTTCCCCTTCCACTCCTACAGCTTGTCTTCTCCCATGTCACAGGTGCAGAAGTTTCCCATCTGCCCTCTTTCAGTAACCCATCTGTTTGTCTCAGTGCTTCCATCCTATCCCATCTCCTGATCTCCCTTGTGCCCTCTCTCATATCCTCCCTTATTCTTCTGCTTAACTTTCTCACTCTCCTCTGGCTTGCTCCCCACAAAAATATACACATGCTTTAATCTCTCCCATCCTAAAAAAACCTCACCCTTGACCCCATTTGCCTCTTCAACTACCACCCCATCATCCTTTCATGTCTAAGCTCATAAGCACTGTATACAACTACTGTCTGGAGTTCCTCTCCTCCAGTTCCATCCTAGACCCTGAAACCGCTCTTGCAAAAGTCACTAATGACCTTTTCGTAGCTAAAGCTCAGAATCGATACTCCATCCTCATCCTCCGTGACCTACCAGCTTTCAATATTTCTCTTCTTGAAATCTTGTCCCCCGTTGGCTACTGTGACTCTGCCTTCTGCAAGTTCTCGTTACCTCTCTAATCACTCCTTCAGCATGTCCTACAGAGGATCCTCCTCATCTTCCCTCAAACTTTCTGTGGGAGTTCCACAGGGCTCAGTTCTTGCCCCCTTTTCTTCTTCTTCTACACCTTATCTCTGGGTAATCTCATCTGCAAACACAAATTCAACTTCCATCTATATGCTTATGACTTACATTTCTTCTTCTGTACTCCAGACCTGTCTTCTTCTGTCCAGCGGAGGTACTGGAACAATTTGTATAGTGGGGGTGCTGAGAGCCACTGAACCAAACTGTTATCCCTGTGTATGATGGAAACCACTTCAAACCATGGGGTGCGGCTTCCCCCCTAGTTCCAGCACTTATGCTATCCAAACCAAAATCTTGACTGTCTCTCTGTCATCTCCTCATGGATGTCAAGTTGTCAGGTCAAGCTCCAACATGGATAAAACATAACCCTTAGTCTTCCCCCAAGCCCCACCTGCTACCTCCTTTCTTGATCACGGTGAACAATACCAGCATCCTGCATGTCATTCTGATCCATAACCCAAGCATCATGTTTGATTTGGACTTCTTTCTAAGTCCTCATATCCAGGCTATGTCTAAGTTTTGCAAACTTTCTGCATAACATCTCTTTCCTAACCATCCACACAGCTAAAACTCTCATCTAGGTTTTCAGTCTCTAGTTTCAATTACTTCTGTCTGGCGTTGTCAGTCTTGCCCTGCTCATATCTGTTGAGAAAGCTGCTGCAAAGATCATTTTCCTAGCCTGTGTCACTTTGACCATCTCACCCCTTTCTTTGCATTCCCTCTTTATCACATCAAATGTAAGCTACTCATCTTCACTTTAAAGGCCCTTCATGGCCTATCCCCACTACCTATCATCTCTCATTCACGACTTAGCTGTTATTTCCAACTGAAATTGGCCCATGATAGCATCCTCCATCAACCACTTGTTTTCAAACAAGTACCTTTGAACTTTCTCTGATGCTGCCCCTCATGCTTGGAAGGTGCTCCACATAAATATCACACAACTATTATTCTCCTTCATAACCCTTTTTAAAACTCTCCTTTGCCATGATGCCTACAAAAACTTAACAGGTCACTGATCTGCTGAGACAACTGCCTGTCATGCTGAGCAATATGGTCTCATTGTTTCCTTGTATTCCCCTGTTAGTCTGCATCCATCTGTTGTCTCTTATCCTATACTTAGATTGTAAACCCTTTTGGGCAGAAACAGCCTTTTTGTTCTCTGATTGTACAGTGCCTAGAATATGGGCTCCTGGTCCATGACTGAGCTCCTGGGCGCTATGGTAATACAAACAAATAACAAACAATAACAAAATAATTTTAACCATGAGTTTAAAGTAACAGCATTGCCAGCTCCCATAATTTTATTGTGGGTCTCCTGATATTTGGAGTTTTTCATAAATGCACAGCTTCTGGAGGCATGTAATTAGGTAGGACTTTCATTTTTTTGTTAAATGAAAGCTAAAATTAAATTTCTAGCCCTCATACTTGCTGAGAAAAGCTTGAAAAAATGACCCACGTGCACACTAAAGACTTAAAAACCAGAAAACCCCAATTCTATGTTTTTTTAAAAATCACATTTTTTTAAACTAATCTACTGATTTTGGGAGTCCTGATACACAATTTTTAAAAGCTTGGGATTTGAAATACTGAATTAAGCACATGCTTAAATGCTTTCCTGAACTGGGGCCTTAGTTTACAATCATAAATATGTAGGAATGTAGGTATAGTGGAGAATACTGAAGGGGTGGGAGTGTTTGGGATTAGAGAGCACTGGATGAGGGAGCAGCTGGCAACAGGGTTTCCCAAAGCGTGCAGAAAGTCCAGGAGAGAACCTGGTGGTGCACAGATGGTGGGATGGCAGAATATCTTCTGCAACCATTAGGAAGTTGGCAGAAGAGCAACATCATCCTGCAGACTCTCTAAAGTACAGGAGATCGAGAAGACAAGCTCAGCCAGTGAAACAGTGAATTATTTAACTGGCTGAACCGTGAGAAAGCCCTTATCCTCTAAGGAATGCTTTCTCCATTAGCTATATCTCTATTTCTCTACATCTGTACCTCAGCTCCATTATTGCAGAGTAATGTCAAACAATATAGTTAACAGGTTTCAGAGTAGCAGCCGTGTTAGTCTGTATTCGCAAAAAGAAAAGGAGTACTTGTGGCACCTTAGAGACTAACCAATTTATTTGAGCATAAGCTTTCGTGAGCTACAGCTCACTTCATTGGATGCATCCTTCATTTGATGCTTATGCTCAAATAAATTGTTTAGTCTCTAAGGTGCCACAAGTACTCCTTTTCTTTTTGCGAATATAGTTAACACTTTTGGTTTTTAGAGGACTGATTTTTAAAATAAGTCTATTTGGGAGATCTAATGACAAATGATGAATATGAAGTATGAAATCCTAGTGTTATAAGCATCTTGTTATTATAAAGCTTAGAACTATGCTAAATTTTAAAAAGGAGAGATTTGTAAAGGTTCAGAATAACTAATTTTAATAATATAATTGTATAGTAAATGTAATTAGGATCTGCTGAGCAGATACTGTAAGCCTGGGGATGATTAATTTTTACAAAAAAAAAAACACCTAAGGATTTAAATCTTGCTTTAACTGAAAATACAACACAGCCTTAGCAATGGGAGGGGTCAGTGATATCTCCATAATACCACAAGTCAGATTTTACATCCATAAGTGTAAAATAAGTAGTTAAAAGCAGCCAGCTCTAAATACTTTTCCTCTGCTTGGTATGTAGTGTATTTACCAGTCTCTTGAGACTTTTATTTGATACTTGTCTACAATTATCCCGACCCTGGATCTAGTAATTCTGGTTAGCCTGAACCTGAACACCACAGATAAACAGCCCCTTTGCCCGAGCCCCATGAGCCCAAGTTAGCTGGGACGGGCCAGCCATAGGTGTCTAATTGCTGTGTAGACATATCCTGGGACTATTCACATGAACAAGGCTGGCAGGATTACAACATTGGCCCCTAAAGTTACCAATCCTCGATTCAGGAATTAAGTCTGTGGTTGTTTGTTTGGTTTTTTAAGTAAATAATTTGTTGCTTACTAATATAAAGTCCAAACATAAGGTTCTAAGCCTCTCCAGTGAGGAGTGCAGAAACACCCAAAAAACCTAACTCTGTTCCATTCCAATCTGAAATCATTGGGTTTTTAGGGTACTCGGCACTTTTCAGGGTGGGCCTGTCATTTCCAAAATAAAAATAAATATATTTTAAATATGTTGTTCAGAATCTCAGTTTATGAACTAAAAGGATTCACATTTCAGTGTGTTAAGTTCTTCAAGTTGACATATACTGACTTTACAGTGTAAAAAAGATTAACTCTTTCAGCTATTTCACTAGTTTAGTAATATCAGATCAAGTCTATCAATATGAATAGAAGTTGATTAACTTTATGGTTTAAATTTACTCAGACTCCAGAATTAAAATGTTATAGAAACTTTAGTTAAGAGAAAATGAAATGTTGCCTTCTTGAGTGTCTTGTGAAAATAACTACTGTAGTGACAACATTGTATTGTATTGAATAATTAAAGGAATTTGATTTGGGGTGCACAAAAGATATCCGTGGCATTCTACAATTTTACTCATGATGTTTGTTGAGAATGTCTTTGTATAATTATCACATGTATAACACTTGCCTTCTTACATTAGAGTAATATGGAGACAAAGAAGATGAAACACTAACAATATTGACAAGAAAAGGTACTTAAAGCCTTGCTTATTTTTATATTGGTACATTTAAAATGACTCCACATGCTGTACACTATTAACTATTTAAGACTACTGTAGAATTTCATTTTACACATAGGATTCGCAGAAATTTAAACATCTCTCTACTCCACCTTAACAAGTTTATGCCTAATCAATGTCTAATGGCCACTGCATTATATACTTTGGTAATATGATTTATATTCATTTAAGGTTAAGGGGAATTTTGGCTGCACAAAGAACATAAGACCGTACCCTTTTTAGATTTAGAACATGATCCAACTGCCACTAAAATCAGTGGTGGTTTCCATTGATTTTAATAGGAGCTGAATCTGATCTTTATTCATTGCTACACATCATCAGATATTGGATTAATCAGTATGAATATATTTAGTTTCACAAGTATGTTCTCTTAAATTAAAAATAGGTACTATAGTTTTAAATCTGCGCACAGTCTTCTTTAAGCAAAGGTTTTTGGTTACCTCACTCTGTAATCATTATGGGCCTGATCCTGTGAGATGTTGAATGCATGCAACTCCCATGAGCTGAAATCATTGGGCACACACCAATACGGGTCCCATCATTCTTTAGAGGGCAAGTAAATATCACTTTATTTCAAGTGGATCCTTTGAAAGGAAATAGTAGCATCAAAAACTTCAAAAGGAGTTTGGACACTCAAAAAATTCAGAGTTATGCCCAATATCTGTGTAGCTATACAATTTCAAAAAGAATTTACTTTTTCAAAAAAAGGGCCACACCAGAGTACTTAGTATGATTTAAACCTCCCTCCTTCCTGGTGCATTTAAATATCATAGACTCACAAATGAAAAGCAACGTTCAGATAAGCAGCACAAGCAAAGCAAAAATACTCATCGTGTGATGACTTATTCTCATTCCTCCTCAATGAATACATAACTAACTACTTTGTAAAGCATCTGGAGATATGCAGAATAGAATTACTATAAAATACAAATTATATTATAACACCTTTATAAATGCATAATTTTCAGATTTAATGTCTTATGCCTTTCAAATGAAATGAGGCTGTAGAATAGTTGATTATTTTTTTCCTTTAAAATAAATTGTTTGAGAACACTGAACCCTTTTTTACTCAGAGTAGCAATAAAGAAAAAATATTTCATGCCTTGTCATTTGCGTTTACTCCAAGTTTTTGGTTTAAAATAATATTAGTTTTAATAAATTAACTTTTCCATAGTTCTTTCTAAATTTGAACTTCATGCCTTTACAATCAAAATATATAAAATTGCAGACTTGGGTGTGTGAAAATTAACTAATAATCATGTGCAGTACTTGTTTTTGAAACTTTTCAAAATGATATATACAGGATTATTACACTATTCTTGCTTCACATGAATAAAAATGTATAAGCAGTAATATGAATAAGAAATTCCGTGAGGTTGCCACAGTGGTATCTATAACCTGCCCTGATGCGCTGAGGTACTGCGGTATGTATCTTGGTATGCAATATGGTTTGGAGTACTGTTCTGAAAGTAATGAGAGAGACTCAAACAAAACAGTGGCTAGCAATATTTACAAATAGGACTTTGTGCCATTACAGAGCTCTTCTCTGTGATTGCCACATTATTTTCAAAGGCAAATGAAATGTCTGTGATGTCCCATAGTATGTAACAATCTGTTCTCCTTTCTAGAGTTGTTTTAAACCATCCTATAGAATTTAAAAAGTGAAGTACAGTATATAGAATTCTGAGGCATGATTCAATTAATCTAGAGAAAGGACATCATTCTCTATTAACTTCTATCACAGTTTAGAATTTATAGGATCCGATTGCTTTTATCCCTACCAAAATATTTCCTAGGGACTTCTTTATAAGGGTGTGCATGTCTGGGGGGTACCTCTGTATGTGCTTAAGGTAGCTGCCTGGACTCCCAATTTCGTTGCTCTTAAACTCAAGAGAAGGTTTTCTGTATTCAGTATCACTGCTCCCTCCATCCGCATGTTCAGAAACGGATGATTACCACAAACGTCTTATTTCTCTGCTAGGTTCAGTGCAAGGGTCGGTCCCAAGTCTCCCTTCCGCCCCATTACCTCTCCTGTGAGCTACAAACATAGATGAAGCACATACACTCGGTAGCTACACCAGATTAGGAGACTCCCACTCCGGAAGTCTTCCTACTGGACACCTTGCATCTTTTCAGGTAGCTGCATCCCTGAATAAACGGTCTCAGGTACTTGGAGTGAGAGTTGGAGAGTCAGCGCCCCTGAATGCTTACACTAGCCCAAGCCTTGTATGCAGTGCAGTTGTAGCCCGGGAGGGGCTGGAAAGCTTGTCTCTTTCACCAACCAAAGCTGGTCCAATAAAAGGTATCACCTCACCCACCCGTTCTCTCTCGCTCTCTCTCAGCCTAAGCCCCCCGAGAAAGAGAGGGACTCGCGGGGAACCCCCTGTAAGCCAGCACACCGCCAAGGGGAGCAGAGAGGGGCGGGGATGGGGCTAGGAAGCGGCAGGACCCAGCAGCAGCTAGAGGCACCCCAGAGGGGCAGGCTCTGGGGGCTGGGCTGCTTCTCACCTTGGCAGGCGCACGTCCAGGAGGCGAGGACCAGGAAGAGCAATAGCAGGGGGGCTCCTGGCACGTTGCTGTGGCCCCCCGGCTGGTTCCTAAGGCTGGGCTGGCTGCCGCGGGAGGAGGCGGCGCGGTGCTGAATAGGGGGCTGCCGCTGGCAAGCGCCTCTCCTGGGCATGGTGTCTGCCGAAGGGCGGCCCGGCTGGCCCCGAGTCTGCGCCGCGGAGCCCTTCCCGCCTCGCCCGCTGCTGCGTGTCTCGCTTCCCTCCCGCTCTGGAGTCGCCGAGCTGCGGAGCCCGCGGTCCCTTCCCAAACTTTTAAATCCCCCCGACACGTGGACTGCGTCATCCTGACTCCTGGCGAGCGCGTCATCCTCGCTCCCCCGCATCCACGCGGGTCCCAGGCCCGAGGAGCCCCACAGCTCCGCCGGGGCAGCTGGTGACTCAGCCCGGGCGCGGGGTCGTGGGTTAAGTGGGTTCCAGTTTCTGGGCAACCAAACCTTAAAACAACTCGGTGAGAGGTATGGAAAATAAGGGAAAATTCTGCTGTCAGATGCATCCGTTTATGTTATTTCTAAAGCACTCACCCCTGCAGTATCTAAGCTGACGCTTGCCTTTCATTCTCCCCTATAGCGAATGGGAAAGCAGCACGGTGGAGTTAAGATCTTTAGCCCCCCAGTTCAGGAAGCTACTTAAGCATGTGCCTAACTTTAAGTATTGTCTTCTGACCTGCCAAAATTTGTGGGAAAGGCACTTGCCCAAACATGTTTTTTTTCCCACACATGTGCACTTCTAAAACGACTAAAAGGGTTTATCTCAAGAATCACCTTTGAAAAGAGATCAGTGGTGGTGAATTTCATCTCTAAAGTGTGTGGTGCGGAAATGTTTTTAATTAGAGCAATGAAGAGGATGGAAGTTCTGGTTCATGAAAAAAGTTCAAGATTTTGAAATATGCCTTCATTCCAAACTGGAGGGAAAACAGAATTTTGAAATTCTCTGAAGAAAAAGTCCAGGATAGAAAAGGTTTCAAGTTGATTAGAATGTTTTATTTAAATTTTGACTTTTTAAAAAAATTATATTGTATGTTATAATACAACATTTTTTTCTTCCAAATAAAAATTCTGGTGAAATTGGACTGATTTTGTGAAGCATTTTGACTTCAGTGGAATATGGTTCTGTGACAGTTTCTCTGACCAACTCTAGTTCTAAGCAACTAAAAATAGATTTTCATAATGGAAACCATTCTAACAACTTAAATGAAAGCCATCACTCCTAGTGTTGCTAGAAAAATAAATATAATTAAAAATGATAGATGATTAAAAAGAACACTTGCAAATTGCAGTGTGTGTGGATTAAAATCACATAGATTCTGATCAGCAAGGTTTTTCCTGAAACTTCACCTCTTATCCTATATGCACTCTTATTTATTATCTGTGATGCTCATCCATCTTCTAGACTTCCAGTAGAACTTCAGGGTGAGATTTTCAAAAGCACTCACTGTTAACCTAACTCTGCTCCCATCAAAGTAAATGGGACTTTTAACCTGTGCACAGGGACATACAAGGAACTTTCCTTCTCCCCAGCTCTTGTATGCTGGGGAGTACAGGGGATGATCACCCTACGGGAACATGATGCTGGGAAGGGGAGAAGAGATGGCAAGGCTTCAGCGCACAGCAAGGCTGATGCATCCTGGGCCACAATCTAAAGGATGAAACAAATTACTCACCTCACCATCTGCGTGCAAGGAGCAGCAGTGGAAAGATTGTGTTTCAGTGAGTTGCACCTCCTTGGGTGGCACAGCTTCACACTGTCCGCTACTCAGGGCAGTGTCTTCAAATCCACAATCTTGCCCTAAATTTCTGTAATTTTCCATCAGTCCTCCATACTTTATTTGTGAAATCTTGTTTGTTTCTATTGCAACATTGCATAATGCTTAAGCAATGACAGAATTATGGACAATATATATGAGCCAGGTTCCCTCAAAAAGAACGTACTACTATGTTTTATTGAGAAATTCTAACTGCTGAGTATTTGACAGGTGAGGAACAGTAGATGATGGAGTGAGGCTGCTTGATAAGAAGAGTTGGTTATTCTGTGAAACAAAGAGCCGATTATACCTGCAACAACAATTATATCCAGTGTCCAATCTTCGCCCTTAGTACCAGTCACTCTGCTCTACCTGTGGCAGATCAGGTATGTCACTAATTGTACTCTACCACCCCGAACAGCCTCACAAGCCATAAAACCTGTATTCTTTGATCAGTCTACCAACCACTGTATTAAAACAATACAAAATTCTCTGTCATAGCAGTCCTTTTCCTGTTCCCACTGGAGCCAATGAAAAAAGTTCCCACTGACTTCATTGGAAGCAGAATTGGGCCCAGTGTCAATAGAATACCAGTCATCAGAGCATTAAATTAAGTGAGTCTCTATTTTACATATCATATTACTATGTTTATCTCTGCTTAATGAAAACAGTTTGTTTTAAATCAATATAGATCATGACTGTGTTTCTGTCCTGGTTTCTGTTAAGAAGTCAGACTTGTCATTTTAAAGAGATTAGCCCAAATTAGTAGGCATCATCTCTGCAAAATATCTCCTTAATCTTTAATCTTGGTCCAAATTAATGAATCAGCGTCCTGCGGTTTGGCCAAAGGAAGGATTTAATTTACTGTGTATGTTGTTAATTAATTCACATGTTAAATATTGAAGGTACCATACAGAAATATATTAAAATATAAACAAATCTGGTGTTGAAATAGCTATGACTCTTCCAGACGTATTAAACAGTGCTACAAAATGTTTTAAGAAACCTTTTTCTTGACCTAAAGCTTGAATTAAACTCAATCTTTTGTTTGAAAAAGATCTTATTATTTGATAACTGAGTTTCATCTGATGTCTGTTTTAACATTATAGTCTAAACGCTTAAGAGCATATTAAATGAGATTTCTACAATGACGACAAAATTCTCCAGTAGGATGATCCACCCACTCATCTCTCCATTTCCTATGGATCTGCTGTAGAACCGATATGACTCTTCCTATGCCTAACACTTGATTTTGTGTGTTGCCTCCCAAATCTTCAATCCCAACCCCAAGTTTGGTTAACAGTTGAATTCTATGTATGAGAAAGATCAATAATAATTAAACATGAAATCTTGTTTGTACACTGAAGTAATGCTGCTGTCCAAACAATTATCCTTCCTCCCTCACCCCCTTCTGAATCCTCATGAGGTGAATTCTTCCAGTATTTCTGGGGACAGAAAAATGTCAAAAGTTGATTACTCTCTCAGAAAAAGTTCTATCCACAAATTTTAGCCTATATAGTCTTACTAATTGTAAAGAGCATCAATGCATTATTGTTCTTTCCTGATGGCGGAGTAATGTGAACAGATTTGGGGGAAAGGATAGTCATTCTGGTCATGTCATCAGACAGCAAATACAATTAATAATGAAAAGGCATGTTCCCATTAGGCCAAATCTGAAGTTTGTACTGAGACAAAATTCCTACAGAAGTCAATGGGAGTTTTACAGAGTAAGCACAAACAACAAGGAGTCTTTGTGGCACTTTAGAGACTAACAAATTTATTTGGCCATAAGCTTTCGTGGGCTAAAACCCACTTTATCAGATGCATGGAGTGGAAAATACAGTAGGCAGGTATAAATACACAGCACATGAAAAGATGGGGGTTGCTTTACCAAGTGGGGGAGGGTCAGTGCTAACGAGCCAATTTAATTAAGGTGGAAGTGGCCTATTCTTAACAGTTGACAAGAACGGGTGAATACCAAGGGAGGAAAAATCACTTTTGTAGTGCTTTTGAGGCCAATGCAATCAAGGTGGCACATTTCAAACAGTTGACAAGAAGGTGTGAGTATAAGTAAGCCAAGCTGCACTCTGGGATTTTCAGTGTGCTGTAGCAGAGTTCACAAGGGATATTTACTGCATATCAAGTTTGTGTGCTGTAAATTCACACCTTGGCTTAAGCAGTAACTTGACATATAGAAAAAGCTCCAAGTACTTAGAAATTGGCCCTTAGTTTTCATAAAGCGTTCATAGTTTATGACAATTAACTTTGTCCTGAAAAACTGTAACAGTAACTTGCATAATTGCAAGTAATACAAACACCTTAATAGGAGGAGGAGAAAATATGGCATGCTGTATCTGTTCTTGTTTGCATTAATTGCTTGATGAAATTGATGTTACCCAGCTTGCAGGAATAAGGCATATCCTTATTAAAAGGATATTTCCAGTTTAGGATGTTTTGGAGTTCATTCCTTTCTATACTCTGATGACTGAAATTAGTTTCACTGGAATATTTGCATTCTCCTATTGTTGATTGACTAAACACTAATTATGGCTAATGGAAAGGAAATCAAACAGCTGAGGATGTAAAGGCACCATCGTTTCTGTCACCAGAAGAATCAAGGTCAAGAGGTGCATCTTTGAATCTATTCAGCTTTTGTGTACATGTAGGGAGCCTGTAAGAATTCAGTCCATGCTAGTGGTTCTGTCACTTTGTACTCATGTAGTAGGGAATTATTACACCCATATTGGAACGTAAACACAAAGAAGTGGTATCTACACGTGGGTTTACTTTACCAAAAAATTCCCATAATTGCTACCACCAGTCCAGGTATAGCAACAGTAACAACAGCAGGAGGCAATGTGGAGACCAGCTTCCAGTGACATTAGCTCCATGCCTAATCCTTCCAAGAGAAGGTCGACACTATATGATGCTTAAAACACTGACATCCTGTCTACACTAGAATTCCTACACAATTTTGGGGAAATAAGTTTAGGGTTGGCAAGGCCATGATGGTCAGTCAATCCCTACTCACATGACACTTGGATCTGATGTACTTTCTTAATATCTTACTGACAGCATATTCATAGTAAGAGTATGAAGGGGCCAGAGGGTTGGATATGAACAATCAGCGTCTCTGATTGATCTTTTGTTGCAGGAGTTCTGGTTCAACCCAGACTGACACCAGTTTGACAAAAGCCTTTAGTTCCATCTCCTTACAAGCAATACATTCAAAAACAAAGTACAGACAATGCAGGGTACAATACTTCCTACGCTTCCCTAGAACATCCTACCCTTGATCTGATCAACAGAACTCCTCAACTCTCCCTTCTGAGAGTAGAATCCTTTATTTAATGTGTGGAGCTTGGATAGACACTACAGCTTCTAATTAGCTCCTAACTAGGAGTGCCTCCCTGAGCTGACTTGGAATCCTGGCTGGAAATTAACCTTGTGACAGCTGTTGTCTGACCCAGTGAGGTCTACTTCTGGGAACAGTGGCATGGGGTGCACCAGATATTCAGGGAGGTTTCCAGGTACTTTCATATGTAAGATATGGTTAAACCCACAGATAGGTGAAAGAAAGCTGTGTAACAATATGCACAATGGGCCAAATTCAGCCAGCTTATAAGTGGGTACAGCTCTTCTAGAGTCAACGGA